TCTAACTGAAGCAAAGAAAACTTTGAAAATCTAGCCCTTGCATTCTATAAACCGTCAAAACAGAAGAGATTGCCATGTGGAAGTTGCCAGGAAAAAATTACTGAGTAATAAATCAACTGACAAAATTTACATGTATGTAAAAAATGTAAATAACATAATTATAAATCTCCAAAAACACACCGTAAAAGATCGTTTACTTTAGTTATCTTAGCCTCCTAGTTGTTTTTGAGAGGTACTTTTGGAAGGTACTTTTAGTTATCTTTGCAGCCTAGTTGTTTTTGGAAGGCAAGTATCACTTCAAAAGAATCCTCAATTGTTGCTGCGATTGAAAGCAACACATTCTTCGCTCCACAACCTTCTCATTCGAGCTGATGCGAACAAGAAAAAATTTCACTTTGAGACTAAGGGAGCTCACCCAAATCAACACTCTCCTAAGCTCCAAATCATTAGAATGATGATAAACTGCCTTTTGTTTGTGAAAATTAGCGCAGGCGGTTTGTGATGAAACTGTGGTCTATTTCGTCACAACAAAAAATGGACTGAATAATTCTTTGATTTAAAAAGTACTTATGAATATTTAAAATGCTTTGGCACTGATAAATAAACCAGTTAGATCCATGCGTCATTGACCAACATATGGAAAGTCTGGGAAAAAGGTGAAGCCAGAAACCGTGAGAGAGTCAAACCGTGACGGTAGGCTTTGGCACATTATGCTAGTATTATTTTGAGCATAATAACATGGCAAAAGTATCGAGCATAATGCAAGCATTTTAGCAAGATTTTTGTACCATTAAAAAGGAAAAATTTGTCTAAAGTGATGAAATTCACCGAGGAACAGGCAAACAGCCAAACATGTACATTTTAGGTTTCTAGCCAAAACTAGCCTATTCAATGCTGGTCAGCGGTTCGGCGTGCGCAGCCGCCATTTTGTTTGCTTGATATTCCAGTGTGTAGGCTAGCGTTAGATAACATCGAGTGAAGCCAGATTGGACACCTTATGAATTTTACACAATTCATTATTTCTATAATGGAACGAGATTGGAATGTAGAACGAGGCTAGAATAGCTGAAGAAACCAAAACTACAGAGCTCCAGTTATGGAGAGAACACAGTAGAGAGTTAAGCACTGATCAGGGGCACCCAGCGACAATTTTCGGCAAAATATCTGTTCGGAAGACGATTTGAGATCTAGAATTTTCGGAACATTTGTTGTAAAATTTCTTGGTTGCCTGCTTCTTCTAGGATTTTCGAACATCTAAAATATGGTATAATTGCCTATTTTTAACGGATTTTTACCCTAAAAAGGTCATCTAGAATTTTCAGGAGCCTTTTGTCTGGCTGAAATTTTCGAAAAGGTAAGCCTCGATCCCTATAATTTTCGGATCACTAGACTTTCAGCTAGGAAATCCGAACAGATGAAAAATTTTTAGGGGATAAAAATATGCCTATATCTACCGTTTAAACACCAAAATACGTTTAACAATGCTATGTTTTAGTGGTTTTGAACTATATTCTCGTTGGGTGCCCCTGACTGATCTGCAGTGATTAGGGTTAAGTACTAAACTGAAAACGGTTAGCTTTCAAATACTGTTACGGGGTACGGCATATATAGGAACATGTATATTTTAAAAATTAATGGATTTGGCAGCTAGTCCTCGATGGTGTAGTGGATATGGATGTAGGCTATAAAGTAAGTGACCCGGGTTCAAAGCACCACAGTGGAGTTTTTCTATTTCACTTTTATATTACACAGTAAAGTTGGACTTAGGTTGTTCTTCATGTAATTTTACTGAAAGAAACAATCTGACTTCAGCCGATGTTACCTAATGCTAACCCAGTGTGTATGGCTCACACAAAAGTTACACATTATGTATTTTAGTTTCCGAAAATGTTTGTGTCTAGTATTATGTATGTATTGATGGAACTTTCGAGCATTTTAGCAAGGCCATAAGAGCATACCGGTAATTAATAGTAAAAAGTTTGAGCATTAAGCATTAGCATAAATGAGAGAATAATGTGCCAAAGCCTACGTGACGGACACTATTTTTTTAGTTTGCCTAGTTGACCAATATCTTGCTGAAATGACTATTTTCAATTGGTATTAAATAAATACAGCGACTTGGAATAAATACTGAACATTAAAACACGAGGGAAATTAATTAACGGTCCTATATTTAAGAAAAAATTAAAGAAATATGTGTCTCTATAGCTAATAGCTACATATAGTAGCGGGTATTTTTGAAACCTGCCATGTTATTTATTGCGCTGTTTTGTTATACATCTGGTCTTCGCTTTTCAGTTAAGATGACAAAGATATGCGCTTAGTATATCTGGGCCGGGAAAGATAATCGAAACCATTGTGCAAGTTTTGCAAGATCAGCTCGGTTCTTAACACTGTAACAGTCTGGCGCTTGGCGCCGTAACATATGAAACCGTCGCCTGGTACGGTTAGCTCAGTTGGGAGAGCGCCGGTTTGCTGATCGGGAGGTCAAGGTCTTTAAATACCGTAAACTGACTCCGAAAATAAGCCCGGGGGCTTCTATTTTTCAAAGGCCCTTTTTGAGAGGCTTATTTTTGGAGGGGCTTATCTAAGGAGGGAAATTTGCGTTTCAAAACCGATAGGGCTAGCTTATAGCCAACCCCTCCCAGGCCTCCTACCTCCATTACTCGCTTCATTCTTGTTATTTGGAGGGGATTGTTTTCGGAATTTTACGGTAACTTTAAAGAAAGTGCTGCCTTTGTAATGACATCTGCAAATGGCTAGACTTTCTAGTCTTCTCAGATAAGGACGCCTCACAGCACTTAAAGTTAGGCTGCATTCTTTATGTATACTGCAGAAAGGAGTGGGGTCAGAGTATATTTTTTAGAGGGGTAAAAATTTGTCACTCACCCGCGCATTGCACACAATTTTTTTTACACCCCCCCCCTTACACACACACTTCTGCACCGCCGGGGTCTACGTATCCTACCAGAAGCCCATAACCCGGAGCGTCTAACTTCCATACTACGCCTATGCAACGGCGTTTTCACAAGTAGGTTTATTTCTAGATAAGCCTTTCCCGCGAATTGCTTTCGAAAAGTCAATCACAAGCAATGGCGTCATCAATAATAAACTTTTAATACGTAACCAGGACAACTCCTTCATAATGAATGGTGGACGCACGTGAGGAATCTTCAGAGGATTCTTGTGACAGTACACATATAAGCCCCCCAAAGCGATAACGTAAAGAACCCTCCATTAAATCGCCCCTCCGGGGGCTTGTACTTGGAAAATTGCCCTTAAATACAAAATAAACAAAGCAAAAACGGTAAATTTACTTCCAACTATAAGTTTTGGTAGTGTTTTATCAATAAAGACACAAATATTTAATCTTTCAATGGCATCTAAAAACATTGGCCTCCCCCCCTTCCTGCCTTAACAAATTTTTACCATCCCCCCTTTTCCCTTCAAACAGTTTTAAGAACCCCCCCCCAAAAAAAAAATCCTCTCATCGCCCCCCCCTCCCACCTGTGGTATACATAACGATGCAGTCTTAGCTGATTCATGAAGGACGTAAAAAAGAACCCACACCACTCACTCTGAAATTGTCGCTTGAAGTACTGTCAGAAGAATCCGCTGAAAAATGCGCCGTAAAACGCAGCCAAGTCTCTGACACAGGTGCCTATCAGGAGAGCCAATTTTATTGCGTAACGTTAACGGGTCTTTCCTTAAATTACTCTGGGTTGTTTTGCATTTTGGGTCAGTGAGGCTTAATTTATGGACAAATGCACTACGAAGCTAAGCCCAATTCGCTTGGTACGCTGAATGGCTGAAGGGAGGTTTTTCATACATACTACCGATCGCGACACCACAAAGAGCCTAATTTCAAGGTCAAAAGTCTACAATCTATTCTCGTTTACTTAATTCAAACTTTGGCTAAATAGATATAGTCTCTAAACCGTTTAACTGTAAAGATACGATTTAATTAGGTCTTCGGCCCTAGTTAATAGAACCATTTCTCAATCCCCGTAAAGTTGAATAGTGTACCAATCTTGCTAGCTAATTTGGCAGCCGTTATCCCCGACCTATGTTGTTCTAGTTACCAAATAAGCTGTCTAAAGTGAATCGTTGGTACTGCAGAGTACAAATATGTTCAGTAGAGCTCTAAACAATGCGATCGCGACTTAAGCGCCAATACGACAAATGTGTAAAACCGCAAACAATATATGGAATGACTTCCTGGTTTTCTCATTGAAATGCCAAATTTAGGCGTCGGTGTAACTGCCGGAGTTTTGAAGCCGAAGCAATACCGTTAGCCAGTAGAGCATTGTCTCATAAATCATGCCAATAATGAATAATTTTTTCAGGTATGCCAGAATTTCATCTTGGCTCTACCTTGTACCCAGTCTCCCACCCGTTTCGTCACTTAAGTGCTGAGTCAGGGAAAGAACAGGTGGTGAAACTCACACGTGCTACGAGGAAGTTACAGATTGTCTTTCCGTCACACCTGCATCCTTTGCATTCTTATATATATTTTGTTTTGAATTGAAATATATGAAATGAATCATATTTAGAACTGCGCATAGATATGAAAGTGAACATGATCTTAATTTCAAGCGGAATGAACAAACTAAGCGGTTGAAAAACAACCTGAGAAAAATTCAGGCTTGAGCACTCAAGTTTGAACTTTCAATTTCTTATATTTTAATTTGTTACTTGAAAATAACACAAATTGGGGCAGGTTTGCACTTAGCTATTTCTTAGAGAAGTGAAATCCTTGTAACTTTTAAAAACTAATTTGCTTTCTTATTAAACAGAATATACGATCAACAAAAAGTATAACTGGACAACTTTGGAAATTTTAATGCCCCTAAGCAATTACACGTGCAGATTTTTTATTTCTCAATTGTAAAGCTATTTATACATGTGCAGTTTTAACTTACTCTCAGAAAAAGGTAATAACTACTTCTATAACATAATTAGTTGTGATCTTCAGGAAGTTTGGCTTATTGGTGTTTTCATTAACATCCAAACAGATACATAAAGCTGGCAGTGAAGCTGGCAATTAAAAGAATCCCGCTGACCATAGGACCTGAGGCTCCATTGCAGTAGTCAGAAGAGCAACAATTCATTTCACACTTGACTCCGGGTTTGTTGCATTGTGGAACAGCTGATGCTGAGCAGGTCTTAGCGCATCCTTTAGCGTATCCCTCGCCCGTGATGCTACCAGATGTGATGTTGACGCTTACCTTGGTACAGTACTGGGAGTACAAACACCTTACTTTGTATCGTCCGGCGTCACAATCTTGGAAAGATTGCGTACTGGTACACTGATAACATTTTCGGGAAATCACTGCAGTGGAAATTAATTATAGAAGAATTCGATCAATAAAGGCCAACAATTCTTTGCTACAGATTGATCATTAGTCTCCGCAATGTGTTTGCATGAAGCCATAGCTACCTACTGAAATCTACCCTGAGACAACGTGCAGTTGCAACATACCAATAATTAAAAGAGACAATAATTTTGCACTTGTCATGATATTAAAAACATGTAATGTTTTAGCTAGAGTAGCAAACAGGATACAAAGTTCTGATATCATAAAACTAACCATTGCGTATATTAGCAACTGTTTTTTTAAAAATTGTATTCAGAAAAAAAAGCAAACAAACTTTAGGACCTGCTGAGTCGAGCATTCACCATGCAAATTCCTAGTGTGCGGTTGTCTTGAATCTTAACTTTTTAAAAACTATTTCACGTTAATAGGTAATGCAAGCAGTCTTCAAACAGAAAAGAGTACTGACGCACGCTGTTATAAAATAAAAGCAAAGAAACTGCTGCCTACTAAAACAGGAAAAGGAAGATAACAGTAATTAATCAACTCAGATATGATGATTCGAAGACGTCGAGATAAAAAGTGATCCATGCAGTAAATAGAACACACCCGCACCAGAAGAACTTAATTCCTTGCGCACACCCTACGAACAACTCCGTATGCTAACGACATCTAATACGCCCGGTGTTTTCACTGTGTTTTGTACAAATAAGACAGAAAGCTATGGTAAGGACTCATTAAAAGGTGCTTTATGCGTCCGAGCCAGGATTAGTTGTTACACATCAGTTTTCAACGATGACTCGTCATGATCAAAACGTAAATTTATCAAATTCTGGTTCTTTACGAGCTTCGCAATTGTCAACATGAAAGCGAATCTATTGGCAGATAAATTAAACGTACTTAATGCAAGGCACTGAGAAACAAGTAACAAAACTACATCCCTACCCATTGGCAAGAAGATCAGGAACATGAAAAGAGCTACATGCTGCAAATTCGTCATGTTGGATCTCTGGTTCCGCGTTCGTTAATTAACTCGATCGATGCAGATGTAGGAGTGTGGCTTGCTTGCCGTTTGAAGCAGTAACCAAATGGCAAACCTTGAACACTGAACACACCTTAAATGCTGACTGAACTAACCTTTGAATAAGTAACTGTCAATTTTATTAATCGAGACAATTCTTGTCAAAATTGATCTTGGATGTTACTGGTTAATACAAGAGCCAACACCCACTGCCAACTGACTGAACTGTGTTGTAACGCTCCGGGTCTTTGACTCTTAACAAGAAAGTTATCGCGCCCCTTTGTCACTGATAAATAAGTTTTATTAGTTGTGAAAGTTACCTGGGAGGAATTGTGATTAGCCAAAGGATAGACACGTTGTTACATAATAAAGATTAGTGTTCCATAAGGGAAGAGCTTTTCGGCCCGGTGGGCGGGGGGGGGGAGTGGTACTACCATATATGGGCAATATCGGTATGTGCCGCTGTGAAGGGTATGGTTTTCAAGCAGTTTACTCTAGGATAGGGTATATGAATCAGAGCGTTTGGGTCTAGAATAGGGTATCATTTTTCAGGAAACTGATCAGTTGGTTGAGGATTTTATCTAAACTGGGGAAACAGCTACTCTAGGATAGGGGGATTTTGGGAGTTTACTCTAGTATAGGGTAGCAAAATTCAGCTGATCTAGCTCTGGTATAGGTCAAGGGTTCCAGGATCCCAGCGGCACATCCCCACCCAGAAATTCCTAAAGTGCCCCCCCGGCTTTTCGGCAACTTTCGAAAGACTCGTCATGAATGCAATTCAGCTCCTCAATTAAAGTTTTTTTCTTTCGGTTTCTTATACTCTAAGTCATTTAGCCCCTGAAGGAAGGTCAAAATTTCGAATTCGAACATCAGTGAATTCAACTGTAATGCAGTTGTTTTCTTCAGTTCGCTCTTATGAGGAAAAAAGGCCAGTGTTACCAGACTCTTCTCTTCAAAGTCCGTAGAGCGCGGGTGATAAAATATAAACCGCTGGAGATTTATTGACCGCCAGCACAAGGGGGTAGTGCTGGGGGAAGAAGAAAATAGACGTTCTTTATTTTGGGAGTTTACTCTAGTATAGGGTAGCAAAATTCAGCTGAACTAGCTCTGGTAAAGGTCAAGGGTTCCAGGGTCCCAGCGGCACATCCCCACCCAGAAATTCCTAAAGTGCCCCCCCCCGGGCTTTTCGGCAACTTTCGAAAGACTCGTCATGAATGCAATTCAGCGTCCTCAATTAAAGTTTTTTTTTTCGGTTTCTTATACTCTAAGTCATTTAGCCCCTGAAGGAAGGTCAAAATTTCGAATTCGACATCAGTGAATTCAACTGTAATGCACTTGTTTTCTTCAGTTCGCTCTTATGAGGGAAAAAGGCCAGTGTTACTTGACTTTTCTCTTCAAAGTCCGTAGAGCGGGGGTGATAAAATATAAACCGCTAGAGATTTATTGACCGCCAGCACAAGGGGGTAGTGGTGGGGGAAGAAGAAAAAAGACGTTCTTTATTTTGCTTTCTCGCGCGAGCTCACCGATGTTTTTGAAAATAACGAAAAGAAAAATAAAACAACGTCTGTTTACAGGCTATACTAGACATGGTAGTTCAAAATATTAAGCTTTATTCCTGAAATGGCGGTTTTAGCCGTTTCTCGATATCGTACTGCAAATTTGTTTTTTAATTAGTGAAATAATTGCAAGGCTGCATCACATAGATCAATAGGCCTATCGTATGATTTTTCAGTTTGTTAGAAAATAAAGGATTGAACTCAGTGACACTCAAGAAAAACACCAAAGACACTTCTGATTGGTCATTAAGGTCTAGTGTCACTGCAGGAACAAATCGATGAACATTTCGTCGGGGTCTGATGCACTTCTGTAGTCTGATTTTCTTTTAACCGTCAACCAGATCGTCTCCGCGATCGCAAGAGTCATCTAATGTGTCGTTTAGTGTGTTCAGCCGTTTGAGAAAATGATATGGAAAGACCTCTCATGCCCACTTATGAATAAGGGATGATCCGGACGACTGAAGCGACTGCAGTACCCTAAATGGAAATGTTGTTTACATATCATGACATATAGACTATATAGACATGATTTCGATCCCCACACTCGCCCGGATCAGTATCGATTGCCCCATAGTTTCAAAACATCTGAGGTAAACATCTGAGGTGACTTTTGACGCGATCTTGACAGAGCTGATGCGGGGGCGGGGGTGGGGGGGGGGCACTTTGGTATTTTTTGGGTGGGTATGTGCCGTCCGGGACTCCAAATAGGCACCCCGTTCTAAAAAAATTTCCCCTAAAATTGATACCCCGTTCTAGAAATGGGCCAGTTTTTTATACCTCGTTCTAGAATTTGCCCTAAAATTGATACCCCGTTCTAGAAATGGGCCAATCTTTTATACTCCGTTCTAGGGTGCAACAAGAGCACAACAGTTTGCTTGTTAACACATTGAACCGTACTTTTAAAAGCTATCTGTCCTTGAATAAAAAAAGTCAAGTGGCTGCTTACAAAAATGGAGCTTTCATACGTTCGAAATATTATACCCCGTTCTAGAAAACGCCTCTGAAATGGATAGCCCGTTCTAAATAAGGAGCGTCAAAATCACGACCCCGTTGGGCGGCACATACCCGTATAGGTAATGTATGGGAGTACCCCCCCCCCCCTCCCCCGGGCGCCTGCTAGGTTATAGTTTACGGACATATGATGTCACATACGTGGTAAGAGCAAACTAGGAGTGGCGGAGACATTCTTACCAAAACTTGACGTCAGATCTGAACAGAGTCACTACTTGATCATGAGCACACAGCCCCGAATGGAATATGTGAATGAAAGCTTAGTTTATCGTTTGCCTCATGGTAGTAATATTGATAGCGACCGGGTACGACTGATATTGTGAGAACAATGAATCGGAAGTCACGCAGATCCACGCACGTCTTGAGAGAACTTATTCTCGGTTTTCACATGACGTCATCAAAATTCAAACTAAGAAACTATCGATTCTTCTGAGATTCTGAGTTTCATGAGGTATTACAGCACCTAAACACCTTTATTTAAACAGAGGTTTGGTTCGAAAGGGTTCTTCGTTTTGCGATAGAGGACGTTTGAATTTCTAGGCTTTTGCGTGACGCGGCATTTAGCTGGCGGCCGGGACTGCTCTTCTGTGGGTTAAAAACATTACCAGTTTTGGGAGATTTTGCTATCTAAACATTCCTTCTCTCAGAATAAATATCACTTTAATAGTTTATGAGTTTTTTAAGCGATGAATTAACGCATTAGTAGGAAAACTCAAAAACAGATGTTTCTGTTGGTTTCCGGCGGCCATATTTGTGCCCCTCAAAGGGACACAAACATGGCGCCTCCATACAAAGCTTTATAAATTTGGGTAAAACGTTTTTCCTAATATCTCGCATATGAAATATCGCACAGACCTGATTCTTGGCAAGGTCTTTTGTTTATTTATCTTCTTTTATTTCCAAGATTCGGGACTTTCTGTATCGAATGGTTTGCAATTTTATTTTTGATTGCGTGACAGTGAAAACCGAGAATTGCTGTAACGGGTAGGTTACGATCCCGGAACATTCCTTATTTGGTAATTGTTTTCAACATTGAGAACATGAACAAGGAAGAAAAGGAATATAGAAGCCTTCATTTGGACTAGTCATCAAGGAAATTCCAATGTGACGTTTTCTGATCTAAATGATCTGTAACACTTCTTCAGCTTCCAAATTGTCTCCTACGCATATTAGTGGCTCGATTACCAGCTGTCTGTAGATATTGAAGCATATGAGGATACCCGTTTGCCGATTAGGATTCGAGTTGGATTTTTGAGTTAAAATTTTCAGAAAATGGTCAGCGGTTTACAAAAAGTCCTCTTTCGAAGGTGTTTTCAAGGAGGAAAGCGTGGCGCATCTTCTTTGGAAGAAACTCAGTTAACTCACGTGTGACGGAGTCAACATATTAGGCTGCGTGCAAACGGACGCAACAACTCCCAACATTGTTGCGCCAACAATGTTGGGAGTTGTTGCGTGCGTGTTGGCAGTGGTGTGCAAACGGATGCAACAACTCCCAACATTGTTGCGCCAACAATGTTGGTAGTTGTTGCGAGCGTGTTGGCAGTGGTGTGCAAACGGATGCAACAACTCCCAACATTGTTGCGCCAACAATGTTGGTAGTTGTTGCGAGCGTGTTGGCAGTGGTGTGCAAACGGATGCAACAACTCCCAGCAATGTTAGGACCTGCAGTGCATCGTGGAAAGGATACAGCCCCTAAGTCTTTGTAAACCGTGCGTAATGAGCGTGCATGGCTCGAACAATGTTGGAAGAGCTGTGCGAACGGATCCAACATTGTTGCGCTACGCTTCCGCGATCATGGAACAAAAGAAATGTTGGGAGTTGTTGGCTGAAAAGTTTGACCGGTTTCAAACTTTGCGCAACAACATCCAACAACGTGCAACAGGGTATGCAAACGGGCGCAACATGTATCATCCAACAATGTTGGGAGTTGTTGGCCAACAATGTTGCGTCCGTTTGCACGGGGCTTTAGAGCCTAGCAAAACAAAAAGGTACCAAAAAACAAAGAAAAAAATACTTCGGATCACTTAACGTCTCTGGGAAACGTAACGAAAAATACTCGACAAAAGTCGTCTTGATCATGTATTGGTCGCTCTTTTATATATTGAAAACTTTGAAAAACTAGCCCTTGCATTCTATAAACCGTCAAAACAGAAGAGATTGCCATGTGGAAGTTGCCAGGAAAAAATTACTGAGTAATAAATCAACTGACAAAATTTACATAGTATGTAAAAAATGTAAATAACATAATTACTAGAAGTAATCATAGATTAAGGAGTGCGTTCGAGTTTTCTAAGCTCCAGATTAGCTTTTGTGTCGTCAAGCATTATTTCAAAATCATGGAAGAAATAATGAATTAAAAGGTAAACATTCTTTTGTTAAGAAATGCTCTTCGCGTATACGGCTTCAAAATAT